CGGCTCATGGACGTGATGGCCAAGGAGACGCTGATTAAGAAATCCACGTTACGTGACCAGATTAACTCTGATCACCGCACCCGAGCCATGCAGGACAGGTATATGGAAGTGAGTGGAAATCTGAGAGACTTGTATGATGATAAGGATGGGTTACGGAAGGAGGAGCTCAGCGCCATTTCAGGGCCAAATGAGTTTGCAGAATTCTATAATAGACTAAAACAGATCAAGGAATTTCACCGGAAGCACCCAAATGAGATCTGTGTACCGATGTCAGTGGAATTTGAGGAACTGTTGAAAGCCAGAGAGAACCCCAGTGAAGAGGCACAAAATCTAGTGGAGTTCACAGATGAAGAAGGTTATGGCTGGTACTTGGAGCTTCATGATTGTTACCTCAAGTACATTAACTTAAAATCATCAGAGAAACTGGATTACATCACATACTTATCCACATACTTATCCAACTCTTCGATATTCCCAAAGAGAGAAAAAATGTCGAATATAAAAGGTATCTTGAAATGCTTCTTGAGTACCTGCAGGATTACACAGATTGGGTGAAGCCACTGCTGGATCAGAATGAACTTTTTGGGAAGATTCAGAATGAGTTTGAGAAGAAGTGGGACAATGGAACGTTCCCTGGTTGGCCGAAAGAGACCAGCAGTGCACTTACCCATGCCGGAGCCCATCTGGAGCTCTCAGCCTTTTCCTCTTGGGAGGAATTGGCCTCCCTGGGACTGGACAGATTAAAATCTGCTTTACTGGCTTTGGGTCTGAAATGCGGCGGCACTCTGGAAGAGCGTGCTCAGAGGCTATTCAGCACAAAAGGCAAATCCTTGGAAGCCCTTGATTCTTCCTTGTTTGCCAAGAATCCAAAGACAAAAGGAAGCAATAGAGTGAGGTCTTATTTTGTAAAAGAGTTCTGCACTCAGCAAATAGGCTTGAATGGAAAATAGATCTCAATGATCATTAGAAACTCCCCTATATGCACATATATTTTCACAAGATTTGTGCCAATGTAACTCGAATAGAAGGCCACTGCCTTTAAACCATATCTGAGACCATCAGAATTGGAGTTTCAATAAAGCTAATCAATTCTTCTTTTTTCCTCTCCCTCCTCCTAGATGCTAAAGTTATGAGTGCAAAACATCACTTTTAAAAAAATCATTCACAAAAGTAAACAGTCTTACAATATAAAATGCAAGTGTGTAATAGATGACTTTTTAATTATTTGCTGTGCAGCCTATTATCAGATACACATAGTTCACTATGGGCCAAGTTCTGCTGAGGCAGTGTTGCCAGCTGTTACAATCTTATCACAAGTCTTGCAATATATGTTTTTTCCCCTAAAAGACCCAGCTCCTAGAGTCAGGTGATTACATGAGACTCTCCATTTTCATTAAAGAAAAAAATATTTTAGCCCTCAGAGTTGCTGAGAAAAGCTGCAAATTTGAACCCTGAAACTTCAAAAGCCAGAAAGCAAATGAAAAGACACCACACTTTATTATTTTTTAAAATCTCATAATTTTTAAGTCAGTCTCATAATTTTGGGGTCCGACTCATGATTTTTGAACAGTGGGGATATCAGTTATGCAGTGGGGAATACACAGTCCCTTGCTCACTGATCCTGAGACCATTGCCCCAAGTCTGACGGACTGTGCTCCCGGAAAAAGGTCAGCAATGAGCAGCTCTCTGGTTGTCGTTGTTATGTGACCTCGTGGTCTAGTCATTGGTGGATTTGCATAAGCAGGTGCTGCAACAATGACACAGGCACAAGCTCACTAAACAAAAGAACCTCCTTTGTTCATTACTGCAAGAAGGTGCTCACTCCATGCAACTGTGAGTGCTGTTACAAAATGATACCCTCTCTCCCACAGTCAGGAAAAATAGAAGCACCCCTGCATTTCCAGTTGGAGTTACTTCCTGAACCAGGGGTCCATCCCATTTCTCAGGAGCCACACCCTTAAGGGACAGTCTGTGGGTGTGCCAAGAAGCATTCAGTCACCCAGCCAACCTATTAACTCTGTTACCACCATTCCCAGCTGTTGCCACAGGGAAGTTCCGCCAACAGGGAAGGTTATGAGTGGCTGTGAAACTAGGAGGGTCGATGGAGGGTCCAGCCAGGAGGTTGTTTTTTTCTGGATAAGGTTCTCTGACTAATTCAAAACAAAGCAGATCAAATTAACCAGCAAAGTTCTTATGACAGAGGCACAAGCCTGATTATTGAACTACTGTCTAGTCTACGCTCCAAAGCAAATACTGTGCTTTCTCGATTTAAAAAAAAAAAGCTTTGAAAAGACTCTACATTTCCAATCCTTTAAAATTATTAAAAAATGTATGACTAAGTAGACTTTAATGTGTTGAACAAATTTTTAAAATGTGGGAATTTCCTGCCAGGACACTGAGCATAGTATAAAAAAGTTTCAACACTTATTGAAAAAAAAATTAATGCCTGTTTGCTGATGTAGGTGACATAAACCAAATATGCTCTGCTGTGATGTGGTGTAAAATGATTATTGGCACATGGCTGGGATGACACACATAACTCAATCACGGCCCCACCATTCAAGAGTAAAGATGTCATCCTAAATTTGTGCAAATCCCAATTTTACATCACACCATCATGAATTCCTTGTCTCCCCCTCTGATGACAAATTACATCTCCATCAACCATCAAATCACGTAACATAAAATCTGAACACTTTGACTCAGATTCTCTCCTTGGTTGGGGGAGAGTTAGCAGCTGCTCTAATTCATGCCAGCTGGCTGTGGTCGACATGAAACCACATGGCAGTTGAGAACTGGCTGAACATAGGTGTAGTACAGCTCACCCAACATCCCTTCTTCCACTCTGCATGCCAAGGCTGGGGTGAGTTGGTGTAGGCGCTGACTATGCTACCTTATGACAGCTAAGAAGTTCTGTACGCCAAAGCTACTCTCAGCTGGGTACTGAGGGTCAGATTCTGTTCATTTTGCACAACATGAAAGGCAGAGAGAATCAGGGAGAGAGACTTCTGGCCCTTTATCTTGAAAATGGGTTAGAAGAAGAAGAAGAAGAATGGCAAACTTTTAAAACTAAAGACATGAAAATGTTTAGGAGTGCCTATGAAAATGAAGAAATGTATCCCAAAGAATCTAAAGAAAATGACCCCTTTGAGTGAAACATTCATAAAAGTTTGCAGAGATATACAGATGATCTCAGTCCCATGATTATTTCCCCTTCGCAATGCTTTTTCTGTATGTATTTTTACTTCCAGGTGTGGTACAATTCATTATACAACATTTGTATATTACAATATGGAATAAAATATACTGGAGGCATATAAGTCATTGGAGTGCTACCAGGCCAAAGGCAAAAGCATCGATTTGGACTCATAAGATAAAGGGAGTTCCTATACACCACCATAGCTAAACTGTTGGCAATGAGGGCCAGATGGTGTCCTTTGAAAGAGAAAAGTGCTCAAGTTGAAATGTCTTTGGGTCTCCCCTGTGCACTAAAATGAGCTGTAGAAGCAGCATATCCTCTACTAGATTGTACCCTTCAGGTTAGTGGTTTTCCAGTTGTGGCTGTCTGGGGGAAGGTTTTACATAGTCCCACTTCATCGACTATCGTCAATGTGCTAGTCCCATATCTATGACTAGACGTAAGCTTGTGGAGCCACATTTTTAATAAGTGGAGGCTAAAAAATGTGTACCCATGCACGCACCCACACTGGCACATGCAAAATCCATGCGTGCCTGCAAACTGGATAATTATGCATTCAGATTGGTACCGATTTCTACATTCAGTTCCCTGATTTGCACATGGACCTGAGAGATTTGCACATGGTAAATATAAGTTAATTTCTGGAAAGTGAAAGTGGGCCTCCACTTTTTGAAAATTGGACCCTTTATGTTTATTTCAAGAGACTTGGTTCTGGTTTCAAAGTATTTTTAACTAAGCTCATTCATAAACTTTTGTCTGTGTGAAATTACTCTGATCCTTTCCGTTAATACCAAGAATATCGCTGAGGACTGAGACCATTGAGACTAGACACCAATTTATTTAATTTAAAGAGAGCACAACTTTTAGTCAAATGGAATAGGGCCTGACTGATGTGTGGTGAGCATTATAGAGCTGGAGTTGCAAAGTTTTGTTACACCAGTTTCTCAGTTGTGACTTGTGTCATAGGCTATTTCATGTCCTTGGATAGGCCTCAAGTCCAGAGGCCTTTTGCTATCGTCTTGCGCATAAGGAGATCTAGTCTCTTGCTGGAGCACTTGAGAACACCCCTTAATGCTAATAGACCTTATGTGTGTGCTCCAATGAGAGGGCAGACTTCATTTAAGGCAAATTCTGCAGACTGATAACATGAATCTGACAGAGCCTCTGGTTTTCAGTGACAGCATGGAAATTAGAATGTATTTTGTCAAATAAGCACCTGTGAGAGTCAAAAGATTTCTACAAAATAAAAATTCATAGATTCATAGACTCAGAAGAGCAGACTATTGTTCCTCATGTCACTTCATTCATTAACAACATTTTCCCTGACTTTCTGCTCCTGTAATGAAAGTCAAAAGTGAACTTTAATACTTCTGAAAGCTTATGGGTCATCACTGCTGCCTGGTGAGATACAGTGGCAGTTTGCTTGTCTATGACTATTTAAAGTTAGCACTTTGACTAAGCCATAAAGCTTTGGGAGTTTTGTTTTGTAAAATATATATTTTTAAAGACTTTATGTTAGACTTGTCAGGTGATAACACCATTTTATTACTATTATTTCTGGGAATTCTGTAGAAAACATCCATTCCTAATGGTTTCCAGCTAATAAAATCTTAAAATAAGGAGCTATATCCAGTGCTTGTACCTCTTGTTATTGCTGTTTCCTAATTGAACTAAGTCCTGAGGAAAGAGGAAGTAATATTTTTCGACTTCTGAAAATATTTACAGTGCCACCAACTTCCACAATTGTATCCTGAGTCTTAACTGGTCCGGTATTTTAAAACCCCAACTCCTGGAATCCTGTGATTACATGAGCATCTCAGCTTTCACTTAAATAAACTCCAACCAGAGTCAGGGCCCCATTGTCCTAGTAACTCTACAAATAAAACACAAGGAAGGGTCCATTTTAACTGATTTTCTTCTCCCAACCTTAGATCATTTTAATTCCTATATTTCACTGTGAAAATTGAAATATATTATCATTTTACAAGGTTCTTATACAAATTACAAAATGTAAGCAAACAAAGGCCATGGTACTTGTTGTGCTTAGATACTGTGGTGGTAAATACTTTATAAATATAGACAGACAGAGAAACTTTATATGACAGTATTCAGTGTATCTTCAGATGAATATGATTTAGTAGATAGAGAAGAGAACTTAGGGTATGTCTACACTGCATTTAAAAACCCATAGCTGGCCCGTGACAGCTGACTCAGGCTCGTGGGGTTCAGGCTAAGGGGCTATTTAATTGCAGTGTAGACATTTGGGCTCAGGCTGGAGCCCGGGCTCTAGGACCCTGCGAAGTACACTGCAAATAAGGGATGCACCCTTAGCCCAAACCTCAGGAGCCCAAATCAGCTGGCACAGGCCATCTGCCGTGTCTAATTGCAATGTAGTCTTACCCTATGAGGTAGGAATCCTGAGTTCTGTTCTAGGCTCTGACATTCCTTATATGTAAAATGGGTACATTAATATTTTCCTGATGGGGTGTTCAAGGCTTCATTCAATAAAGTCTGTATAGCTTAGAGACTGATGACAGACTGCTTTCCCCAGTGAGCCCACCCCACTGCGTGGGCCAGTGGGCCTGCTGAGACAGGTCATAACCCTACCTCTTCTGTAGCCTCCCTGCCCCCTTTTGGGCAGGATCGCATCCCCAGGGGCTCATGGATGGAGCACAGAGACTATTTAGTTGAGGTTGTTCTTTGTGAAGGGTACACGGGGGCGGGGGTGGAGTGGGTGCTCCTTGCACCCTC